GGGAAGGGAGCGGGGGCGGGGAGAAGATAGGGAAGGGGGAGCTCAGTGGATTGGGCGGCGCGGCGATTGGCCCGGTGTGAGGCGGAGGGGCGGGTCCGAAACGTAGGCGGAAGCGGAAGCGGAAAGGGGTGTTTATGATGGCGGCGGCGGGGCTCAGAGGAGGAGGCAGGTGGCCCGGCGCTTGGTCTCGGTGGCGGCGCGGAGCAGCGGGAGGCGGTGCGGGGCGTAGGGTGGGTAACGCGGGGTGTTGAGGCTCTCCCGGCCGGCCCCACGAAGCAGCGCGGACCGCTGGTGCGAGAAGGTTTCGAAGCTGGAACGACCGTGGTAACGGCCTAGGCCGCTCTGCCCTGCGGGAACAGCGCGCTTCAGAGCCCGGTACCGGCCCGGGGAACCGGTGCTGGGCATAGGGACAGGGGAATTCAGGGCAGGAACCGGGACTCTATGGGCAGGAACGGCGGGCACCGGAGAAGGGGCTCAGCACCCAGCTCTGACCCCCGGCACAGCCTCTGGGGGCGAGAGGGTCGGCACCGGTACCAGGCACGGCCCTGGGGGTCCCAGGAGGCACCGCGTAAGGGTTCAGGACCAGCCCCAGGGCAGCAGGGACCTGCTCTGGGTAGGGGGTGGTGGGTGATGGTAGAGCTGGAAGGGTTCTGGGCAGAATTCCCCCGGGAGCAGGCAGGACCCTGCCGGCGCTGGGTTCAGCAGGCTGGGGGGGTTCCCACAGCACCCCATTCCTGCGAATAGGCATACCGATGCCACCGAAGGGCAGGGAGGGGATCGTCATGTGCATGATGGTGTCGTTGGCACAGAAGCCGCCGCTGCTTGTCCGTTCCAGCACCCGTTTCACCACCTGTGGGGTGAGGGCAGAGGGGTGCTGAGCACCCAACAGGCACCCCTTGGCTGCCCCCTCCCTGCTGCCTGGGGTACACCAGGACACGTACAGCTGGGGATGTGGGAGCTCCCTCCTCCCGTGAGCAGGGATGAGGCCAAAGGAGCTGCCGTGACTGGGGAGCGTGCCTGTGGCTATCCAGACGGCCACAGCAGGATGCGACCCATGCTGAGAGGGATGCTGCTCCCAGCCCAGCTCCGTACCTCCTTGCGGGAGGAGAAGACATAGAGGACCAACGGCCGCTCTCGGGCATTGATGAAAGCAATGGCATCGTCCACACTGGCCACCGTGACGATGGGCAGGATGGGCCCAAAGATTTCCTCCTGCATGACGGGGTCGTCCTGCTGCACCTCCACCAGCACCGTGGGGGCTGTGGGGAGAGAGCTGAGGCTGGGCTGCCTGGCTGGGTGTCGTGGACCGCATCTAGTGGGACCCCCACCCTGCAATTCTCCCCTCCCGCCAGCGGTACGCCCCGGTCCCTCACCGATGTAGCGCTCCTCTGCGTCTGTCTGTCCTCCAATGGCTGTGTGCCCGCTGTGCAGCAGTGCCTGCACGCGCTGGAACTGCCTGTCCCCCACGATGCGGCCAAAGTCGGGGGACTCCCGAGGGTTGGGGCCGTAAAACTCGGTGATGACCTCGCGCAGGGCGGGCAGCAGCTTCTCCTGCATTTCTGCACTGCACAGCACATAGTCGGGTGCCACGCAGGTCTGCCCCGCGTTGAAAAAGCGGCCCCAGGCCACCCGCCGGGCCACGTTCTGCACATCGCAGGAGTCAGACACGTAGCAGGGGTTCTTGCCCCCCAGCTCCAGCGTCACGGGCGTCAGGTGCTTGGCAGCGGCTGTCATCACGATCCTCCCCACAGAGGAGCTGCCTGTGGGCAGGGGGAGCAGCGTGAGCCCAGCGTGGTCAAGGCCTCCCAACAGATCCACGCTAGGCTTGTTGGGGCAGCCCCACGCCTGTCTCCCTGCATTGAAGAGAGGGATGGGACTGGAGTGTCCCTGTGGGATGTACCGGTAAAAAAAATATAGTCGAACTTATTCTCCAGCAGTCTGGTGGTCTCCTCCACACCAGCGGTCACCACGGCAAAGCAGTCCTGTGACACAGTGAGGAGGTGGGGAGCGGGGTACCAGAGGCGGGCAGGAGCAGGGTGATGTGGGGGGGACATGGTTTGGCCAAGCAGGTTGGGGACACAGAGGGGCAGGTGTCCCTGGAGAGGGAGGTGGCTGCAGCCGAGGGCACTCCTACCTCATCCAGGTACCTGGGCAGCGTCTCGGCCACTAATCTTTCCACGTTCCTGGTGATTTCAGAGGGTTTCATGACAACGCAGTTACCTGCAGGACAGGAGCTCCCTCCTGGTAAGGACCTCGCTCTCAGCGGAAAACTTGCCGCCTCCCCCCCCCCGCCATGCAGCCCCACCACCATCACCCCATTCTCACCCCAGGGAGGACACAGGACACCCCCCAGTGAGATTTTGGTACCCCGCAGCATGGCAGGGACGCAGCCCAGCCTCACCAGCAGCGATGGCCCCGATGAGGGGCACCAGGAGGAGGTTGATGGGGTAGTTCCAGGGCCCAATGATGAGCACCACCCCGTAGGGGTCCTTGCGAATGAAGGCTGAGTCCAGTTGCGTTGCCTGTGGAGGAAAGGATGGTGTGAGGGACGCCTGCCTCCCATCCCCTGCGTCCCCGACCAGCTGCCGCCCCATACCCAGTTCTTCTCCACATGCTTGTCCTTCATCCAGGCACCCAGGTTGTTGAGCGTGTGGTTGAGCTCGCTCCTGCAAATGGAGAGCTCGGAGACCTCCACTTCAAAGGGCGGCTGGGGACACACAGGAGGTACTCGTGGCCACCGCTGCGGGTACAGCCCTGTGGCCACCCCAGGATGGTTGTCCTCACAGAGGTCAGCACAGAGTCTCCTGGCAGGACGTGACTGCTGGGGCAGACACCCCCAGGGACACCCTGTGGCCTTGCAGTGGCAAGAATGGGTGGCTCAGCCACCCCTCCAGCATGCCACCTGCATCGCGACATGCTGCCTGGCCCCATGCCACCCCACACCAGCAGTAGGAGGTTGTGGTTTTAGATGTGGATTTGGTGTCTCAAGAGCTTCAGCTGCACCAGATGCGGCTCCAGAGGTGGGGTTGGGAACAAGGGCCCCCCGTTGCTCTCGGTGGAGGCTTCCTTAGAGCTAATTCATCCCATTTCAGTGCAGCCAGAGAGGGTTACTGTATGGTTCCCCCCACCAGGGGCATCCCCAGAGCTGAAGATAACTACAAAAAAAACAAAGGCCACCGCTCCCTGGGTGCAGTGGGCTCACCCTGGCCAGCAGCCAAGCATGCACCCAGCTGTTTGCCACTACCCTGCAGTGGGATGGGGGGAGACTCGGAAGAGCAAAAGCAAGAAAACTTGGGTAGAAATACAGTTTTATAAAGGAAGGAAGGGACGGGGCGGGGGGGGAAATACCAAGTGACGGAAAGGGAAGCAGTCCCCACCAGCTGCCCTGGCCGTGATGCTCTCACCTTGCGCATGTCTGCGGCGGTGGCCTCCAGGATGTCCTGCTTCTTCTCATCCAAGAAGCGTCCCAGAGCCTCCAGCTGAGCCAGGCGGTACTCCGTGGGCCGCGTCTTCCCCGAGAGCCAGGCTGCCCGCAGGCGGCTCACCAGCTCCGCATGGGGACTCATCCTGAGGGGAGGCTCTGAGCACCACCCTGCTGATACGGAACTACCGCTTGCCTTGGGTCAGACGTGGCCTGACCGCAGGGAAAAATCCCAGAGCGTGGGCTGGGTGACGCAGCTGACTAGTCAGTGGACAAAGCCATCGCCTTCCCTTCTGCTCTGGGAGAGCGGGGTCGGCCCAGCCAGGAGGGGGACCCCTTTCCCCAGCACAGCCAGCCCCCCAAGCTGGGGAATGGAGCAGTATTGGTGAAGGAACAGCCTGGCGTGTCCCTCTGCTCCCCAGGAACTATGCACCATGCTGGGTGGGACTTGTCCGACAGAGTTTTTTTCCTGAGAAGCAGTGGGCTGGGTTTGATTTGGTTTCTCCGTTTTCAAAGCACGGGGTGGGGGTAGTGGAGCCGGAGGAGAGGAGGAGCAGCTGGACTGGAGGAACGGAGCCCAGAAACCCACTGGGTTGGAGCCAAAGCAACCAGGACAGAGCAGAGAGGGGCTCCAGAGGACAGCACACCCCAAAACGCTGCAGGAGAAGCCCCCCCAACCCCGCTGGCACCTTACCTGTTCCTCTCCTCTGGGTTCAGCTGCCTGTGCTCGCTGAAAGGTCTGTGTCTGGTATTTCCAGCCCCGTGGGAGATAAGGGAGGGTGTGAATTGCAGGGCACGGGGCGGAGAAAACTTGAGACTATCCCAGCTCAAGGGTTTGGGAGGAGAATGTTGGTGTGGACCTTCTTGGGGCGGGAGGGGGGAGGAGTCCCCAAGGAGGGACACGGGCAGCAGGAGGTGACCACCGGCATCCCCCCCGGAGCACCCCACCAGACTTTCCACCCCTCTGCTGTGGAGGGGCCAGCAGCAATGGGGCAGGAGGCTGCTGGCATCGGGTATGGCTGGAACTCATAGAGCTGGCGAGGGAGATGTGGGGCACAGGGACTCCCTGTGGGGCTCTGCCCCCAACTCCTAGCAGGGTTCACCCTCCCACTGGTCCCAGCCCTCCCCAGTTCTCTCCCTCCTCTAGGCCAGTGTCTCCATCCCGTGCCCTGATTGATGGGTTGGTGGGCAGGCAGGGAGGCAGAAGGGAAGTACGCAGGAGGTCATCGGTTGCAAGGAAATGCCTTTTCATTGCACGTGGTTGCAAAGAAATGCTTTTTCATTGCAGGTGGTTGCGAAGAAACACCTTTTCATGGCATGTAGTTGCAAGGAAACGCCTTTGCGTTGCAGTGGCTGCAAGGAAACACCTCTTCGTTGCACATAATTGCAAGGAAATGCCTTTGCGTTGCAGGTGGCTGCAAAGACCACCGTGACCAACAGCAGGAGATATCACGGTGGCAGCGGGGGACCCTCAGAGCAGGGTGCAGGCATCCTTGCGCTTCACCTCGGAGGCAACCCGGACGATTCCCAGCTTCTGCTGGCTGTAGGGCGGGTAGCGCAGGGCATTAAGAGCCTCCCGGCCCATGTTGCGGTGCAGGCAGCCGCGGTGGTGGGTGAAGGTGTCGAAGGTGAACTTGCCATGGTGCATCCCTAGGCCGCTGTCTCCTGCAACACAGAGAACAGGTCCCCAGCTGTGGGCTGGATCTGACCTTTTTTGATCACGAAACCTTGGCTGGTGCCGGAGTGACTGGGAAGGGCGTCACTGGCTATGTACGTGGTGTTGGAGCGGGCAGCAGCAATGAGATGCTCCCGCCTGACGAGCTTCCCTACGGCAGGGATACCCTCCAAAACACATCCCCTCCGTGCTGGCTCCAGCCCTGCTGCCAGCAAGGCTCCAGGAGTGGAGAGGGGTGATTGTCAGGGTGGTTTTGGTGAGGATGTGACCCATCTGCAAGAACGGGTGAAGGGACTGTTGGGAGGTGAAAGCTGGCTGGCCAGGAGGAAGCAGGGAAAGCCAGGCAGGCTGGCAAAAAATAAGGAATTCCAGCTGTGTGCTGATAACTGATGTGATGAAATTCTGTGAGTCAGCCTGAGCCAGTCTATCTTCCTGATAAAATGCAAATCCTGGTAAAGCAGATAAGTTATGTTTGGTGTCTCACAAGTCAGCAGCCCCAGCACAGAGAAGGGTCACTAGATGGCTCTTGGCCAGCTGAGCAGCTGATTCTTGGGAGGAGAATAGGAGCTGGTTGCGCATGGTAGTGAAGATCATCTGATCAAAAGTGGGTGTCTGCATTAGCTAGACTCATTCCTCTCCGAGGGAAGAGAGGAGCGCTTCTGGACATGTTTTTTAAGCCTGAGTAGACATCCAGAACAGGCCAGAAGAAATACAGCCCCAAAGTGCTGTTTCTGTCCATGAGCTGTGAAATGCCATGTCACCGGGGTGTCGTAGTGACTAAAAGTTTCCCTGGATTCACGGAGAGGCTGGGTAAGTATGTGGAGTCCAGCACCCTTTACCAAACACGTGGGACTCCTCTGGCTTAGTAAATCATTTGAGCTGGAAACAGATGGAGCCTGGAAGACCTTCAGGAAGAAGTATCGTACATGCGTGCCCTGTTCTTACTCATCCATCTGCATAGGGTTGTGGTGGAAGAATGCAGAACTAGACACAGGTTTGTTCTGAAGCCTTTAAAAGAACTAAAGGATTGTTTTCCAGCTGATGCTCTGGATAGAAAACATCCCATGGGAGCTCAAAATCACATAGATCAACTGGAACATGAGAGCTACATAACTTATAGCTGATAATCATTTCCTTGCTTCACGTTGCAGGGAATCCTTGCATGATTGCCTGAATTAATCAAGTATAAAGCTAAAACCACTGCCTGGTGGCCAGTGTAGATGCGGAATAGACTGCAATACTGCAGTCTATATAAATAGATTGGCCTTAAAAATATCACCTTTGGGTGATTTGTTAGTCCTGAGGTGGGATGATGGCAAATGCTTGTAAAGCTTTTAACCCTTAAGGTATCTCTACTAGGCTGTGATTTGGATCCCCTGCTGTTTACTCCTTAACAGTTTTATGCAATATAGGTCTTCAGGAGTTTATATAAAGGAATGTGTGTGCATTGGGAATTCAGAGGAAATTGTGCTGTCTTCAGATGTGGAGTCCAAAATGGACATCCATGAAAAACTGAAATTCTGAGTTCCTGAAAACTGTGGATAAGTGACAATTTCCAAGTTTTCTCCTGCAGAGAAAAGGGGTAGCGCAGCAGCAGGATGGGTGTGAGAGGCTGGCTGCCGGCACCCTACAGTGGCACTGCATGTGGAAAGGAAGGTCTAGAGATGTTTCTGTGGTGGCCACGTTCAAAATTCCCTACCTTTTAAACATGAGTGTTCCACATGTGTTCAGCAGAAACAGGGCTGCAAAGCCCAAGAGCTCAGCCCTGGCGCAGTGAAGCAAAGCGCTTCTGGTGGGGTCCTACCTGGTGCAGAAGGATTTCCCTGCAGACCATTGAGCCCTCTGGACCTGGACTCCCCCCAAGACCCTTCCTCACCACGGCCAGCATGGCTTAGGCACCAGGGGTAGGATCACGCCTGGCTCATGTTGGCCAGGGGCAGGCAGGTTGGGGGATTTGGACCTACCGATCCCACCGAAGGGCAGCGAGGTCAACGTCACGTGCATCAGGGTGTCGTTGCCACAGAAGCCACCGCTGCTTGTCCGCTCCAGCACCTGGTTCACCACCTGGGAGGGAAGCAGAGAAGGTGGACATGGGTCTCACACCCTGTTCCCGCAGCTCCAGCTGCAATCCTTCCCCCACAACCAGGGCTGTCTGCTCTAAGGAAAAATTTTTGGAGCGTGAACAGGGCTGTATACAACTGCCAAGGAGCATGAGGCAAGCGTAGCCCTGGCTTCCCACAGCCTGTACACTATACCTTGTCATCAGAGGAGAAGGCATACACAACCAGCGGCCTCTCACGGCTATTGATAAAGTCAATGGCTTCATCCATGTTGGCCACAATGACGATGGGCAAGATGGGGCCGAAGACTTCCTCATGCATGATAGGATCAGAGGGCTGCACATCCACCAGCACCGTGGGAGCTGCAGAAAAGAAACCCGAAGGCATCAGCCATGCACAGAGGTTGGAGATGACACCTTGGTCCTCTCCCCAAGACCCATACCTCCTTTAAGATAGGATGCCTCACCAAGATCCCCAATTCCCGTGCAAACCTTCCCTAAATTTCACTTCCATCTAGAACCTCCCCTCCAGTTGTGAGACCCTCTCCAAAATCCAAGCCCACTTGATACAAGGATGAAGACTTATGTGAAGTTCATGCCCTCACCGACATAGCGCTCCTTCTCGTCCGTCTGTCCTCCGATGACCACACGCCCGCTGCGCAGCAGGGTCTGCAGCCGCTGGAACTGCTTGTCCCCCACGATGCGGCCAAAGTCGGGGGACTCCTGAGGGTTGGGGCCGTAAAACTCGGTGATGACCTTACGCAGAGCAGGCAGCAGCTTCTCCTGCATCTCCACACTGCACAGCACGTAGTTGGGTGCCACGCAGGTCTGCCCCGTGTTAACAAAGCGGCCCCAGGCCACCCGCCGGGCCACGTTCTGCACGTCGCAGGAGTCGGACACGTAGCAGGGGTTCTTGCCCCCCAGCTCCAGCGTCACGGGCGTCAGGTGCTTGGCAGCAGCTGTCATCACGATCCTCCCCACAGCGGGGCTGCCTGTGGGCCAGGAAAAGAGGCATGACGGTGAGGATCCCACCATGCTACAGCACAACCTGTGGCCTTGGCCATATGAGGACCCAGGGCCACGGAAGACATGTCAAGTCCCACTCCTGTCCTGCACCCACCTTGAGTGTGCAGCACAGGGCTGATCCCTCACCTCCAGCACCCTCTCCAGCTCAGCCATTACAAAACCCAGTTATGGCTCTTCGATCCTCAGACATGTTGGTGGCAGATCCTGCACTGGATCCTGACACCAGATTCCCAACACAATGAGCCCTGCCACCTTGGAGCCACAGCGGGGTGTACGGTGGGAACCCCTCTCTTTTCTTTATTGTACAAAACCCATTGTACTCTGCTCTGGCCCACAGGACATACCGGTGAAGAAGATGTAGTCGAACTTGTTCTCCAGCAGTCTGGTGGTCTCCTCCACACCGG